GGTAAGAAACGATTCGTAAGTCGCGAGTGGGCCAGGGATGCAGGAGGCTTCGGCTTGAGCAAGATGATCTGAGTAGAAAGCGGTGGTAAGTCAAAGTCAAAGCATTTATTTCAATTAAACCATAGTTTGGTACTTTTGAAACGTCAACAAATACAAAATAAATTATAGTCTGTCAGTCAGTCCGTCAGTGAAATTAGGTGAAGCTAGGTATTCTAAATAAAAGTCCGCGACGGCATATTTCTACCTTTCATGTGGAAGTCACTATGACGATTTTTAAGAATATTAACTATAATTTATCTGAAAACGGATAACTGACAGATAACATTACTATGGTAACCAACCTGATGATTTGTAATTGTTATGGCGGACTTTCATAGTAAATTTTGGGATGAACAGACAAAAATTCAGTTCCGTGTGTTTTTAAGAACTGACATCAGTATTCAGCTGCATCAGGGAAAGAAAAAATACGAATTTAATTAACTGAAGACAATTTATTCACACACTTTTTTTTTTTAAGGGGGGAAAATCATCGAATGGCTGCTCCCGCCTGGGTGAGGCGGAAGGGAGCGTCAGACTCTTACTGACTAACAACCACCCCGTTCCTTCTCCTGCACGTCGAGCCGGAGCCCCGGTTACCCGTTAGGTTCTCTGCGACTTATTCACACACTAGCCTCTGCCTGCGGTTTCGCTCGCGCTCTTTTAATGGACTGAGGGCCGGATTTACAAAAATAAAATGAAACGGTGCACGATTTTGTTGCTGGTCACAAATAACCCGCATACCAATTTTTAGCTTTCCACATTGAAAATTGCAAACAACCCCTTACAAACTTCCACCTCTGTTGCAGGAAAGTGGGGGTTAAAAAGAACTATTGCAGAGGGAACAGACAGACGCATCACCTACTTAATTTATCATTTTGGCGATTGTATTTAATATATATGTATAAATATATATATATTATAAATATATATTATATGTATTTTTATTCCCAATTTATTTATTCACTTTTATAGTATTGTTATTTAGTAATATTGATAATGTATCTTATGTAATTTACATTATACCTATATATACGGATATATGTATGTATTTACAGTTATGCTTCACATAAACCATTATACCTATTACACCTACTGTTGCACATCTCTGCATCACCCCATGGTTGACTGTTAGAGAATGCCACCCGGCATTAAGTCCGCCATCGTATGTTTGTTATACAGAAGTGTTAATAAATAAATAAATAAATAAATA